ATAATATGACCAATGTCGTGGCGTACACTGCTTGGTCAATGTTGGACAACTTTGAATGGAGCGATGGCTATCGGTAAAGACATATTGACTTCAAAATGTTTTCAGATTTTCTTCTGTTCATAATCTGATAATAATAATAATCTTTTCAGTTCTAAATTCGGTTTATACGAGGTGAACTTCAATAACCCAGTACGCACCCGCCGCCCGACTGCCTCCGCCAAGTATTATAAAGATATTGTGAAAGCTAAATAATATGATTTATAATAAACAGAACTTTGAACGGAAAGACGTTATTTGTTTGATAAATAATAAAATTAATTTTAGATGTGACTTGGGATGTCACTTGGACCTATATCTAACAATGATTCCTACTCCTCATGGACTAGTGACTTGACTTTTACTTTACTTTTACAATTTCATACAGAAATACATTACTATTTATTACAAGTTAGTGTTGAAAGACGAAAGGAACTGCTTTTAATTAAAAGTATTATGATAGTTATAATTAGCAGGTTATGTACACACGAATAAGTTATTTTGTTTTTCTTGTTTGTTTTTTTTTTTTCAAATAAGAATTTGGATTAGTTTGGATATTCCGATTTAAATAACTTTCATAAACCGCTGATGAACTGATCGTAATAGTTTCAAGGTACACAATATATTATAGATATTAGTTGTGTTCGGACCGCTGTGCTTAATGTGCGAATATAATCAATGTTTTAGAGTAGGAAATTATGATGAAAATAGTTTTTTTTAAAATGTTAACTTTAATAAAAAATATAAGTTAAACTGATTATTTGCATCTTTCGCTGACACCAAACATCATTTCTGATGATGAAGATACTTCTTTTATCTTCCATAAGCATAACTATTAACTAAAGGCTTTGGCCGCTTCTTAAAGTTGTGAGATACTTAGTAGGAGCTCCATGAAGTATCTTCCTTGAATAGCTAAAAGCTTGAGACTTCCTCGAGATAAAATCAAAAAAATTTCAGGACATTTATATTAGTAATTCAATTTTTTGTCATTACATATTAACTGATTTGTTTCAACAAACAATGAAATATTTTATTTTGTTGTGTTTCTATTTATACATATATTACGACTGAACTCAATTTACCATATACATATATTTAACAGTTCTGGCTGAGAGATAAAAAACGAGGACTATAAAAATTCCTTACAATATTCTATACTCCAAAGTTTAGAATGTAGCGCCACCTATAATAGGTTGATCGTCAAATTAGCGTGGTTGTAACTACTTGCCAATAGATGGCGGTTTATAAAATAATTTCAATTTCTCATGGTATTCAACGTGCCAGTGAATTTTGTGAATCTTATAGAATATTTTACTTTATTGTGAGTTTGGTTGTTCATGAGTTCCTTTATATTATCAATTTCTTAGTTTGCTTCAGATTTATTGGTTACCTGGCTTGTTAATTGGATCCAAGACTAATCAATATAATTTTTTTCGCAATTTGCCGAAATAAATCTTAAATTATATATCATTTTGTTTTTAAGTTATAAGGTAAGGGTTTTATTGTTTACATTCTAATGAGTAATAGCGAATATACAGGGAAACAAGTGAAAGAGACGTAGTGAATTTTTAATAAAAATAATTAAATCCTACCTTTAGTATTATATTAATTAGTATAAATGTGAAGAATAAAAAAATATATTTTCATAAAAATCTCCATCCATATTATTAACAAAATGAAAATATTTAGTTCAACGATTGTAGCAAAAAGGAAACACTAATTATGTAGGGCGGCAACCAGAGGTACTAGGAAAACTACAAAACTTATTTTTATGTATATTTTAATGAAAATTACATATTAAAACTTACAACCTATTGCCCCGATGTTAGGATAGCAATCCCATTCCATTGCTTGTGTGTTATCAGGAATCTTCTGGTTCACACGGCTCGGTGTTCGTTCCGTGGAGTCAGCGGCGTCACTCGTTATATATTTTATCTATACAACCACTTTGCCCCGGCGACGTTCATTTATTTTATAATATGTTACACGTACACAACAAAGTCATCTTGTGTCTGTACAAATGTTACATAAAAGAATTGATTGACAATGTTAACTCAGAATAATGAAAAAAAAACAGTAAAATACTAGTGTTGTGGTAGGTACAGCCTTTATTGTAGTAATGTGCTACAACATGGGTGGAGACAGTATTTAAAAGCTTTCAAATACTAGTTGATACCTAAACGTTGCCATCACAACTTTAACAAAGGTTAAATATTAAGTGGTTTATATAAATAATTACAAATATTGGTTGCAACTTAATTAATACCTATTTTTACTATGTACAAAATTTAGTATCATGTTCCACAAGTACATTAATTTATTATAATCAGTCATATAAATAATTCTGAGGACTATAGTATATAATAATTTTTCGTAATATTTTTGTAATGGAAAATTCTTTTGTTATCTTTATTTTTTTTGTAATATTTTTGTAATCTTAAAAGATAAATATTATTATTAAGCAGCTAGACAGTAATCTTCAGCAGTGCTGTGTACTTACGTCTATAACTGGTACATCCATCAGATAAGTATCTGTTTTAAATGTTTAGTTTAAAGTGTTTAATGTATGTACTGTTGATGTGCTGTTCAAATATGTAAATAAATAAAAATAATAACCATTAGTACGGCACAGATTGCGCCACTTGTAAGTTGTAACATTAAACGGCATAACTCCTCACACTTCGGAGTTGGTTCTATGACATACAAACAGCGGAATAACATTTTACACACAAGTATTTAAAAGAAACTTATAAAAGGAAACTAGCGCCATCTATGTCATGATATAGTAACTCACCCTCACCTATATGTTGTAACATTAATCATTATAAACTAAGTTGTGAGTACTGTACTAGGACATTCAGTTATTAGTTCCAGTACTAAGAATAAAACGCACTAATGAATATAACTGTTATAAATAGAACAAACATATTATATTGTATTATGTTTATTATAAAGTAACAAGTCTCGTCTTCATATGTACATTAAACAATCCCCAGTTCATTTCTATCATATATTTCATCAAGTTCAAAGTATACAACAATGTCTCCGATACATTTATATCTGAATAGTTTGTTTTGTGTATTGCTCAAAAGGGCCGTGTGTCTCTGTGTGTGTAGTGTTCACAAGTCAGCTCCACGTAAAGCGACACGTCCTTAGGTTCGCTCTCCGTCACTCGTAGTAACTAGTTTCTTATACACTGATCTCGACCTCACCAACAAAATCCACAGCTCCGTGTCCAAGTATTACCTGTACAGAGACATCCGTTTAGTGAAGGACAGTATGTGTGTGTGTCTGTGTGTGTGTGTAGTGATAGTGTTAATAAGTGTTCCACCAGCCGTGTGAGGTGATTGTAGTACAACCTGCTCACCTATACATACAGTGCTACATGTTTTCGACTCACAATTCCCAGTAAGTTCATTTGAACCACTAAGAAACCGCAGCGCCCCCTGGCGATGTCAAAGATCTGGTGATACTGTCCAAGTCTCTAAGCTCAGAGCCATAGTCAAGTGGATACATTATTTTTATATATATTATAGATACTGTGAGGGCGCTTTACATATATGTATAATAAAATAATAATATGTAACAACAGTAAGTTAACAATCTAGAAGCTACTGAAACAATGATTCTTAACATGAAGCAAGTCCCGCAGGAGCTACATACAAATGTATGGATAAAGCTTGTATTAAAAGACATTGACTGTTTGAGCCGCTGCAATACTACACCTTCAACACTATACTTGATACTTCAAGTCTTTTACATTCTAATATGTTTAAATCTCAGTCACTTCCCTCTCCATATAATGTGTAGCTCATTGTCTTTAATATATTGTGTCTAGTGTAATCACACACTCATGTTTCATTAATAGCTACCTGGTTCATTGTTAGTTTACATCTAACACTTGATGATCAGCCGTCATCTCCTGATGGATGAATCTCAAGTACAGTCCAACAACACCATCTGTAATACATAATACAATATATTAATACTGTTCACAAACAATATTGTTCATATATAAAGACATACGGAGACAGTTACATCAAGGATTGTTTGAAAATAAAAATATAATATTTTATATTAATCTTAGAATATCCACTAATAAATTATCGCCGATATCTATTATATCCAATAATAGATATCGGCGGGTAGGCGTGGAATAAAAAGTCGTAAATTTTAACGCTCTTAATTTATTGATAAATAAAATTTAAAATCAGTTTTAAAATCTAAACTTTATATGTATATGTGACCACTTACCAACTGCCAGCTACTGCAACATCAAATAACAACTGTGACTTAACTATATACATCAAAGTAAGCTAAAATATTTTCACCTTTTATACACATCTATAACTATGGAGTCTATCAAGAACACAATAGAGGAACTCACTGCACTATTTAATACAAAAATGTCTGAATTTCAAAAAGAATTAAAGACCTCCATCCCAGCTACGAGCCCTGCATCGAATATTAACAGTCAGTTCAATTTATTTCGGTCATTTGTTCTGACAGCCTTGGAAAATTTACAGCTACAAGTCGAATTCTTATCAAGGCAATTTGACCAGTTAAAAATGCATTCTAGGAAGAAAATTATTCTGTTGCATGGAATTGCTGAAGATTCTAAAGAGAATGTCGCTGTGCGTGCCTCAAAAACTTTAGCTGAACATCTGAATATTACAAATATTAACCCCGACTCCTTTAGACATTGTCATCGTTTAGGGCATATGGTTACTACGAAGCCCCGTCCAGTACTGATAAAGTTTAAAGACCAATCTGTCAAAGATAAGGTCTGGTCCACCAAGTCCAGTTTGAAAGGCTCCGGAATAACCATGTCCGAGTTTCTCACAAAGGGCCGCCACAAAACATTCCTGGCCGCTAGACAAAGGTTTGGGGTTGCAAAATGTTGGACAAGAGACGGTATCATAATAGTCCTGTCTTCGGATGGCTCACGGCATCGTATTACCACCATGGCGGAATTACAAGCTCTTCAGAGTGCTGGGAGCGATTCCTCAGTCCCGCAGTCGTCACCTAATGCCGAGGAAGCCCCCAAACCATCCAAAGGCATTAATCCTAGGCTTAAGAGGACTGTGAAAAAGCTAACATAAAGTTCTGAGCATTGATAGTTCCGCCTCAGTATGTATTCGCGTCTTTGTTTACATTTATTAACTTATTTCACTTTTCATACATTGACTTAGTGTACTTTTACCCACTTTTAACTAACAATAACAAAGATAACTAAATAATATTGCACATAAATTATATTGTAATTGACATTTGACAGCTAACAGATTACATATAAATTTGTTTTTTATATGCTGCGTTCGGAAATTGTTAGTCTAAGTGAGGTAAGAATAAATTCAAACCCTTTTGTAACTTTGCTATGCAGGCTTGATGTTATATTGATAACATTTGCAAGCTATGTTGATAACTTTTATTAATTTAAATTTTTATTGGAAATTATTTTAACTTTCTTTATCTTTAGTTTTTATGTTTTTTTTCTCTGTGTTTTTGATTACTTGTATTTTTGTTATAGTGTTCCTTTTTGTATATGTTGTTTAAGTTGCCACTATAACTTTGTTTTTGTCATAGTTCATTCATTTTTCTCTTACCATTTCATGTAGCTGGCGGGTTGGAGGATTGTTGGTGATTGCAATTTAATATTATAATTGTGTATTTTATTTTAATTTTATTTATTTATTTTATTTATTTTTATTTATTTTATTTTTATTTTATTTATTTTATAATTATAGTCCATACATATTTGTTATGTCGTCTAATATTAGTATTGATAGTGATTACTTTTTGTCTTTGTCGTCGTCCGACGATTCGTTGAGTGATGCTAGTTACCACAGTACATCTCCTCCTCCACTTAATGTCGCCATAGATTCTTATTTCTCAGATTGCCTGAAAAATTTTAATATCATCCATATTAATGCTCAAAGTATACCGGCTCATTATCCTGATATGCTTGCGTCATTTGATTCCCATAATATTCACGCCATACTTATATCTGAGACATGGCTGCAGCCATGTCTGCCGTCTACGTCTTACGCACTACCAGGTTTCAAGCTTATTCGCAACGACCGCATTGATAGGCGAGGGGGTGGGGTGGCGATCTATTTAAGATCCCACATCCCGTTCGCCATACTTAGTTCGTCATCCCCATCTGCTCAATTCGATGCGGCCGAACATTTATGTCTTGAAGTCTCACTTACCAACTGCATTAAAATCCTTCTTGGCGTGTATTATAACCCTAATTCTCAGAATAATTACTATTCTTCTTTTGAAACCCTATTAGATAATTTAACACCTAATTACAGCCATTCCATTATAATGGGTGATTTTAATACGTGCTTACTTAAAGGCGACACCAATAGTAAGAAATTAGTGGCTATAACAGAATCCCATAATATAAAAATTTTACCTCTATCGGCTACCCATTATTTCCCCGGCTGTTCTCCATCGCTTCTTGACCTTATTATGGTCTCTTCCCCAGATTCTGTTGCTAAATTCGGCCAATGTTCCGCCGATGCTTTTTCCTATCATGACATGATCTATCTCTCTTATAAACTCCGTCCTCCTAAATTCAAACCTAGAACACTTCTGCAGCGTAGTTTTGGTGGAATGGATCAAAGCCGTCTTTGTGATGATGCCGGTCATTTAGATTGGTCTGCGGTCTACACTGCAGAGACAATTGATCAAAAACTTAATGTGTTTAACACCTTAATAACGCAGCTGTATGACAAACACGCACCTATAAAACCAATCAAAAGAAAACACCTTCCAGCACCTTGGTTGACGGACCAAATAAAATACCTTATAAAACAAAAGAATAAGGCCAAGTATAAATTTAAGTTAAATGACTCCGACTCTAACAGGGAGAAGTATAACAAAGCGCGAAATCGCTGCAATACATCTTGTAGAGATGCACAACGACGCCATATTTATCAATCTGTCGAAAACGGCGACACAGCTAAAACATGGAAATTTCTCGAATCACTTGGAGTTGGTAAATCTTCTCATAATACTCCTGTTAATCTAGATATTGAACTTTTATGTCAACACTTCTCATCTTCAAACTCACTTAATAGTGGCGATAAAACAAACACATTAAATATTATTTCTACTTACCCAACTCCTGCCTTTCCTCCGTTTAGCTTCACGTCTTTTACTGAATGTGATGTTAAAAAGAACATTATGTCTATATCCTCGAATGCTGTTGGCACAGATTGTATTAGCCGTAATATGATCATTCCCATCCTCGACATTGTGATTCCCATTTTGACCCATATCTTAAATTTTTCCCTTACCTGCAGCAAGTTTCCTGACACATGGAAGGATGCGCAAATTATCCCCATCCCTAAAAAAGGTAATCCCTTAACAGCTTCTGATTTCCGTCCCATTTCAATTCTCCCTTTCCTATCCAAGGTCCTTGAAAAGCTCGTCTCACATCAACTTAATAGTTTCCTTAATGAGCATTCCCTTCTCAATCCTCTCCAATCAGGCTTCCGTGCAGGTCATAGTACGGCTACAGCTTTAGTGAAAGTCACAGACGACATTCGATTGGCCATGGACTCCAAACAACTCACAATCTTAGTTCTTCTTGATTTTAGTAACGCATTTAGCTGCGTTGACCATGACATCTTGTTGAGTATGTTACGTTCTTTTAACATATCTCCATCCGTAAAAGACTGGCTTCAAAGTTACCTCAGTGGCAGAAGACAGCGAGTTCGTGTGGACGAAACATACTCGTCATGGCGCGAAGTCTACGCTGGGTACCTCAAGGTGGCGTGTTGTCTCCGTTACTTTTCTCAATTTTCATTAATTCAATTGCCCATGTCATCTCTTCTCTCTACCATATGTATGCAGACGATGTCCAAATTTACCGACACTCAACCCTTGACAGATTACCTGACGCTGTCGCTGCCATCAACAATGATTTGTCGGCTATTCATAAATGGAGTCAACAGTATGGGCTTAACATCAATCCCGCAAAGTCACAGGTCATTGTTGTTGGCAGTTCAGCCATGATGGCAAGGGTTGATTGGGCGGAGATGCCACGGGTTGTGTACAATGGTACTAACTTATCCTACTGCTCCAATGTTAGAGACCTTGGTATACAGCTTGATAGTACTCTCTCATGGTCGGAGCATTTAAAGAATATTGGAAAAAAAAACATACGCCTCGTTAAGTTTGTTGCGACGACTACAAAAACTTACTGCCAATTCCTACCAAAACTATGCTTGCAAACTCTCTCCTTCTTTCAATACTCGACTACGCGGACGCAAGCTATCTTAATCTTACCGAGGACCAACTTAATTATCTTGAGCGATTACAAAATCTAGCTATTCGGTTTATTTTCGGTCTCCGAAAGTATGACCACGTTTCAGAGTTTCGTTCAAAGCTCAAGTGGCTCCCTATACGCCGTCGCCGGAACCTGCATACTCTTTCTCTTCTGTACTGTGTGTTATTTAATCCAAATGCTCCTCAATATCTAAAGGAGAAGTTCGAATTTGTAGGAGATCAGGCCAGTATGCGACCAGCACGTAGGCTCATTCTGAAAATGCCTGCTCACAACAGTAAATATTACAGAAAGTCGTTCACTGTTCAGGCAATAACTCTCTGGAATGACCTACCATTGAGCATTCGACAGTCTAAAACCCTATATACTTTTAAAAAATCCTTAAAGAACCTATATCTCTCATCAGAGTAATGATGACGACATGATTATGACAAATGTATGTATTATGTATTTATATATGTATTTATATGTTTGTTTGTATGTATGTATTTATATGTATTTGTATGTATGAATGTAAGTATGTATGTATGTATGTATGTATGTATGTATTTATTGATATATGTACGTATGTATATTATTGAATATTTATTATTGTTATTTATTTTTGTATGTGTTTAGGTTATATATTTATTTTAAGAATATCTATATACCACCCTATACTGTCTCCAAACACAATCCTCTGACCCCAGGTTGCCTGGAAGAAATGGCTAATAAGCCATAAGGCCGCCTTTTGTTACACTGTTAGTTTTAAGTTTGTATTTTTTTTTTTTTGTAATTGTCTGTATTGAGATTATGGTGTGCAAAAAGTATTAAATAATAAATAAATTACACTTCATATCACTAAGAAGGTTTATTATTCAAATAAAACAATTCTTTATATATCAGTCTACTTAGTATCACCATTAATAACATACTATATAATGTATGGAATTATTATTAATATTCTGTTTGAAATATTGGATTCATACAAAAATTATAAATGTTTATAAACTAAACACATAATTGATTTTACTTAAAAAGTATAACACTATTAAAACACTTTTATAATAATCGATTATTCTATAACAGGGGTTCCCAACCTTTTTTTAGTTCCGGACCACTTTTATATTATTCTTGTTAGCAAGGACCATATGTAAGTATAATAAAAATAAACTGTAATAATCAAACTGAAACTTTAATCAACAAATCAATAGGATATTACAAAACAAGAAATAATAATATATTTAGGATAAACTTCTGCAATTTTGTATTAATGTGATTTCGGAGCTTGCATTTTCTTCACGAGTTCGGCTATCCTAGGACTAATATTATTACTCAAAGCTACACGCAAATCATCACTTACTTTCAAACGATCCCTCGCTTTGTTTTTAATTACCAATAAAGCAGAAAATCCTTGTTCACATAAATAAGTTGTTGAAAAAATCATAAAATAGCGCAAGGCCATTTCTCGAAGTTTAACATAAGAAATTGCTTTTTTACATCAAAACGACTCAAGACTCACCGCCCGCTAAATTTAAAATCATTCGCGGACCATATTTTGGCTTCTGCGGACCATTGGTGGTCCACGGACCACTGGTTGGGAACCATTGTTCTAGAAAGACGTCATATGGATTTCATCATATATAATATCAACAGCACATGATGAATTATAAAATGAGTGTGTCGATAACGGTTTACTCAATATAAGAGATACATTATGGAGAAATTAACAGTACATACCGTCACACTACTATCGTACATCAGCTACATACACTTCTCTTCATAGAAGGTTTCCTCTCGTCCGCA